TTATTTTTTTATCACAAATATCGTGGTTATTTTAGGGCTCCTTGAAACCTGAAAAGGAAATAGGAATCCATATAGGTTCAGTTCTTGAGGTCTATTTGTTTATTAACAGGACACAGAGTTGTTAAATCTAATTAAAATATAATAAAATGCTTAACATTTCAAGGTGTCAAAATGCTCCATATTGTAACACATACATAATATCTACTGTATATTTATTTTCGCCTGTCAAGTTCAAATAAAACAAATACTATATGTTAAGTGAAGCTTACCACAATACATTAGTGAAAATCGCACCCAAATCGGTTAAGCCGTTTCTGAGATTAGCGCGCAGAAACGCACAGACAAAATACGTATAAAACATTGTTTTGGGTTCTATTGCGTTAATAAAGACCCCCAATAATAGTTTTTCTCAAATATCTTTCATGTACAGACAGCGATCAGTTACATTTTTATTATATGTATAGATTTATGTTAAGAAGCAAGGCACTAGAAATATTTTATTTACTTAGAAATATTTTCGACGCTACGCATTCGACCGTAGAATTAACTTTATTTCTCATAAGACATTTATGTAATCATTTTTGATATTTAAAACACTTTTATATTATAATCAAGGGATTTTATTTACGTTTTAATACTACAGTATAAATTGTCCGTAATAAAACTTCGAGATATTCCTTGCTTATGTTCTTATATTCAGTACTTTTATAATCGTCAGTGAGTTACATAATTTATATATTATAATCATAATTTACAATATTACAAACAATTCGTGACTAGTCCCTACAACCGACATGTTTGTGCAAAAGCGCGGGAAAACAAATGAATATCCACGCCATTTTTTATTTTTTTTAAACACATTCCTATCGGCCAAGGTCACATAAGTAAATGCCTGATACATAAATCATTACAAATTAATCAAATATTTTATTTTCTATTAAAACACTCAATATATAAAAATGCAACCTTACAAGTAGATACGCCAGTTTTCAATTACTATCAAATCTATACTAATAACTATTTTAAAGAGGCAGAGTTTGTTTGTTTGAGGAATTCGCTAATCTCAGGAGTTCCTGAGTACTAGGTACTTATCGGGTTTGAAAAATTCTTTTTGCATTAGATAGCCCGTTTACTTATAATATCATCAATAACACTTTAAAGTTAGTAAGTTAAAAGCGAGCAGTTTTCTAATTTTCTGCCAAAATATGTAAGTATAAAAGCATCAAATTTTAGCTTTTGGGACTAAATTAGCACTAACTTATACACTTAGTTTTAAGAGATTCTGCTCATTTTGCCTTGCTAGCTTTATGCCATAAGAAAATTAGTAGGTATTATAGATAAGTACCTAAACAAGTATTTTATTTACTTTTAATGTAATTAAATTACGTACGTTAAATTAGTTGTTTTATTCTATGGAACCCTCAATATGCGAGTCAGACTCGCACTTGCCCGTTTTTTCTTACTAACAAAACTTGAATTCACATTGGAATATTAAAATTTTCTTACAAAAAATAAAACACAATGTAAACTATAAATGTATTTATTATACAAGGAACGTAAAATCTCATAATATCACTATTTTAAGTACAATATTCAACTTAACACTAAATTGCTTCGTATAAAATTTTTTGACATTGACATGAGAAAGCGCGCCAAAATTACAAAATGGCTGCCTTTTCATTTAACATAGACTATATATATATTAATATATTTACATTTTCGTTATATATATTAAATACAATATAAAAAAACATAATTTGACAATATATTCTAGCTTGTTACATAATATTTAAAAATAATAATAAATTTATTACGCAATCATAGACTCGTATTATAAAATTTTATTGTCTACATTAAATTACATTACATATTTCATATGCTAAAGGCATATAAACATTATGCTCAATAAACTATATTGTGACTTTTTCAATTTGGATTAAAATTATCATTTGCATAAAAAATATTTGGTATTCCAACCACGTAGAGATGGAATGACGTTAACGTATCACATAGTTGATTTTAAACCAAGGCATTGATCCATTGCTTCTTGCTTTCTCTTGTTTATGTTTATACAAATTCTAATGTCGCAGGTAAATTGTAAAAAACGTGAAATTATATAATTTCTTTAAAATTAAGAAAATATATAACTTCACTAAGCACATTAACTAGTAAATTATAATTTAACGGTTTTTACAGTTTCTCTGCGACATATGTACAAATTCTAGTCTAAAACGAAAAGTAGCTTTAAGCTCCCTAAGTACAATTTAAAATGTCTACTACCTTCAAATAAGATTTATCCTTTTTAATTTTTGAAAAAGCACGTAAAGTGGAAATACATGATTAATTAAAAATAAATTTACTCGTTGTTATAATCAAATCTACATGAACAGTTCAGTGTAATAATATATAAGGAGCGCTCGGAAATAAGTGATGGAGGTTTAAAATGGTATTATAAATAACTGTGCGCAGAGTGAGTGATTATTTATTAACACGTAATAGAGAACAAAGTAAATATGTCTATTCTACTTTCATATTTAAGTCTCATAGTCTAAGATCCCGATCTATGTGGTGGACCCCTCACTCTTTTTCTGGAAAAAGAGTGAGGGTTCCACCACATAGATCGGGATCTTCTACTATCACCAGAGAAGTATATGAGATAATTAATTACGAAACGTAAAAAAATATTATTATACGGACATTATTTTTTGACATCGACAGTAGGTATCGTATTTTATTCTTTAGTTTTTTTCTTTTTCTTCTTATGCGGATAATAATTATTATCTTTAATATTCCTTATTAGCGGTGAAAATTTGACATAACTTGTATAGAGTTAATAACTTTACCAGATTTTTTTCTTATTAGAGATAAAAATATGGCGTGAACTCCATAAAAATAATGACAAATTCCTATCGCTAGTCAGGAAAACCGTGGATACATAGGTTTTTGGTAACCACTGTATGGTAGTCATAAAATAATATACACCATATACCTATAGATAGCAAGCCACAAACAAGTTATAAGTATTTAGAATACCACATTATAATTTTATTATATGTATGTAGAGAATGGATGTTATTTAATTATTACTTTAGTCTATTGTAGAAATCGTGATCCGCATAAATTATAATGTTTTATAACGATTAAATGGAAAAATTATGTATACAGATGGGCAGATGTTCTAAAAACTGGCAACGTGTTTACTTATTTGACATAAAAAAATATTCCACTAATATGAATTATTTTCAAATTTAAATTAGATCGTTATAGAGGTATAACATTAAATAAAAAATGTTCATTTGAATCGAAGATGATAACATATACCAAACAATAGTTAGTTAAATAATGTTGGAAAATGATACTCTAGTTGAACATGCGACTTCGCTTGCAATTGACAAAAACAAAATAAAATTGAAAAAGTTTTATATAAGTTTAATCATCCTTTTGCCCTTAAAAATGTGAATTCCCAATTATCCTATACTACAATTTATCATCTGACCTCTCATGACTCTTGTTTTAGAAATTTGTATGATTTCATGATCAATCAGTTACTGAGAAAATGGCATTTCGCTTTTATTACGTGACATTAGTATTATATATGTGTATGTTTGTATGTGCGCATGTGCAAAGTTGTATATTACAATCAACATCACTCCTCCACATCCTTAGGATCAAACCACATATACAAAATGTATGACCAAATATAGAAAAACGTTTAGCCAAAAACGGTTTAAGCATTTTGGAAAGCTAAAAATACATTAAGATCGATAATATAGCAGTACAAGTATAAAGTTAGTTATTTAATATACTAAAAATGCCTGTTAAAATACCCACACTTCCCATTTCGTCCTCATTTTAGTGTTTTTGCATAATAAAATTACACAATATCTATACATAATGAAAATTTTAATGGAAATAACCTTGAAGAGATAAGAACCACATCTAATGGCTATACGAGTATTATAATATAAAACATGAGTGTAATAGCGCGGTAGAATGTACTCGCTCGCCTATCTTTTGAATTATTTATTACAAACCGTTATGCTTATGTTACTCCAGGTCATACTCTATCTGTGTACAAAATTTTATCAAAATCCGTCCAGCTATTTTAACGTGAAGGAGTAACACATGTACATATATAAACAAACTTTTGCATAATAGTTGGTATGATAATTACGTTTTAGTACAAAATAAATACAAGCGACTTACTCTCGCTTCGCGTTCGCGGATTTTGTTTACAATTGCATGGGTTTTAATTTTTTTGCGCGGAACCTTGATCATTTTTCTAAAACAAAAGTAGCCTAAGTTACTCCTTATAACATCAGCTATCTGCCAGTGAAACTGGAAACCGAAAACGGTGCCGCATATAATGCATTTAGTAAAAAGCTGTTATTTTGACATTACATACAGACACTGCAATATTCTAATCTGTTTAAATAGAGAAATTACATAAAATATGTTTTATTAAATCTCTAATTTTAGTAATGAATCATCAGTTTACCAGTTTTTAGAATATTTTTACATTTGTACTTAATAGGTTTAAATAATTCATAGTATTAAAAAATCTTGAAAAATGACATCAGGAATAATGTAACAAAAAATAAGTTTATATAATATATTAAACTAAAAGTTCTTTTATTAACAAAAATCAAAATTTTTATTAATAGTACCATATGTACTTTATTATATGTATATATTTATTTTTTACTCAAACATTTTCCAGCAACTATATGGAGGCATTAAAAATAAAAATAATTCGTAAATTTCATTTAAAACAATCAAAGAATTTATTTCATATAACTTTATTGTTTCAGGTACGAAAGGTCTCTTTACAATTTCATTAAAAATAGATTAAAAATAATTAATGATTTCAAAATTTTAAAAACAATATGATGTTAATGGCATAACTTATTCTAATTATTGCCTGCTTATATATTTTATCGTTAGTACGGATAATGATATACAATTATTTACAAAAGTAATGATTGACTTACCATTCATTAATGATTACCATTTACACCATTTGTAATAGATTCATGCATACTTTTCAAATGGAATGGGGAAATGGTGAAAACTTCATTTTCAACTAAGTCTTTTAAATTTTCACCTCCGTATGAGAGCAATGGAGAAATTTCGACATCAACATTATCTTCTATGATACCTCCAGCGTCTCTTATATATTTTCTGTGTAGTTCCAGTAAATCTTGCCTAGCAGTGGATGGGCAGTCTTTTTTAGCTGAATCAGCATTTTTTAAAGCCGAAAACTCTACATCTCTCGCTACTTCTAAACATATAAAGTTCTCTGCAAACTCGAACACATCAAAAATGAATTTTTCCATTTTAATACCATTAGGATCAGATGGTTTTTGACGGACACCATTTTCATCTACATATGGTATCTTCTTTTTAGCTACATGCAATTTTAGTTTTGATTCATAATCACATATTTTTAACAAGAATTCTGATGAAAAGTAGTGGTTGCAGATGTTTCCAGCGGAAAATGTGAGACGTCCATCTGGATTCCTTCTTTCTGCTGCTTCATCAGTTAGTTCGGAGTACTCAACCACTTTGTAATATCCATTGACTCTACACACAACACCAACTGGTTCACTCGGTGATGATTTTCTTACAACTTTAGCAGCACAATCAGCATTCTTACTCTTACAATATCCAATGAAAACAGGATCAGCCACTTTAATTAAGATATTATCTACCGAGTGTGCATGTAAGTGTTGGATACCTCTTTTAACAATATCATTTAGGACTCCCTGACTCTTCAGAGCTCTGTAAATACCTCCATTGCCATCAGGAGCTGATGATAAATGATGTTTCTCATCCAAAAACATTTTACCATCAAAATCAAAACATGGCAGTCTTCCCTGTTCAAAGAATATTATATTTTCTTTATTTAAACCAAAGTAGTTGTGACTTCTAAAGAAATCCGCGGTAGGTGCTTTTGTGTGCTCAGAAGTCATAATGTACCAAGTTATTTTACCTTCTTTTCCGGTCCTTTCTTCAGCCATCTGTTCTACTCGAAGAATCCTTTCCGCTTGGATTTGGAATAGAGTTTTATGAGATGGTAAGCCAACATCGTACATTCCTTTGGGATGACCGAAACCCAATCTTGTCGCTTGACCACCAGCTAAAAGCAAAACACCAACTTTGCCCTCAGATATCTCACCGAATCCTATGTTTTCGTACTCCTCGATTTTAGCTTCGGACAGTCCAGGTACAGATTCGTAGTGGGTCTGCGGTATGGGTTTCAAGTCTTCGTCTAATTTTTCTAGAATAACTTTTGTAGTGTCCATCGCGCGCCGAAATAATTCGTTCATTTCTTCCAAATCTAGCTTTCGGATTTCGGCTGCGAGTTGTTCCCGCTCATTTTCGCTTAGTTCCGGCCAATATTTGATGAGGTGCTCTTGACCGTGAGCCTTTAATTGCTCCAAAAGATTTTCGTACGACATTGTCGCTCAACGTTTCGCGCTATAATACCTTATCAAAACCGATCGCGGCGATTAGAAAGTATAAACTGGCGGTTCGACTCAGCGTATAACATTTTCACTGCACCCCTCCACAATCGGTGTAAAACACGTCGGCCTTACTAACATTTCGCACTTTTCTGTTTATTTACATTTAGTGAATGTTGTAAACGTGTTACGTCAATTCCAATTTGACTGGTATTTTCGATTTACATTGCGGTTTTTGCCACTTTTATATTAATTTAGTGGTTTTACAGCGGCGATGTATTGTGGTGTAACGTCAAATACATTATGATGTAATGACATTTGAGTTTTCGTACGGAAATCTAATTATAATTTACTTTGTAAAGTTATTATAAAAATATTACAAACATATTTTTTCCTTTTGATCATATATAAAATAATTTAAAATAATAAACACAACAAAATTTTGTAAGAAAGTGGGTAATTCATTCAGAAAAAAAAGTATATATGAAGCACTAACTTGTTTTTTATTTATTTTTAATTTTGCTAGCTTTAAATAATAAATTGATATTAAAATTATTATACGGCTGAAAAAATATATGTCTACCTCTATAAAAAGTAAAAAGCCATGCGGAGTGTTATGTCAGAAAGAAATGTCAGACCGTCTCCACTTGGATACGAGTTATTTACTTTTGGAAATACTAAATTTTTTATTTTATATTCTTACTGCGCTTTTACATTGCTTATTTTATATTTTAAGAGTAATAGTACAACAAATCTTCAATGTAAACATGACTGAAAAAACAAAAAAACGCAAGAGAACAACAAATCCACAATCTAACCAAACTGTATGTAAAAGAGGTGCAATAGACGCAAATTGGCAAAAATTACTATCAAGCACGTTAATGGATGATAAGAAAGAGAAAATTGAGGAAAATAAAGATAATTATACAGGTACCTTTCGTCGAGCTCGCAAGAAAAACAAAGATATAATAAACAACGTTAACTTTAATAATTTAAATATTAATAATAAAGAACCAAGTGGGGATGAATGTAGTAAAAAGGTAGAAAGTACAGTGAAAGAAATTAAGAAGAATAAATTAACTAAATTTGTAGCAATGGACTGTGAGATGGTAGGAGTTGGCTATGATGGCAATGATCACATGCTAGCTCGTGTGTCCATAGTAAATAAGTTCGGAGATTGCATATATGATAAATTCGTTAAAGCAAGAGAAGAAGTCGTTGATTACAGGACAAATATCAGTGGTATTAGAAAAGAGGATCTGTTAAACGGTGAAGACTTTACTGTAGTTCAAAAAGAGGTGGCAGATATTATAAAAGGAAAAGTTCTTGTAGGTCATTCATTGAAAAATGATTTAGGTGTACTATTTTTGTCTCATCCTAAACGAAATATAAGGGACACATCCAGATATAAACCTTTTAGAAAGGTAAGTATCATTAATTTTAGTGTTATTAAAAGATCGCCTCACCCATATTTTAACTTATACATAACATATATTTTAACGGTTAGTATGGAATAGGTATTATATTCTTTGAGAAATAGATTGATTCCCCATACAAACTTTCATTTCCCTTTAGACCCCCTTAAGGGATGATTACTAGGATAAAAACTGTTCTATGTCCAGGGTCTTAAACTATCTTTATACCAAATTTCATCTAAATTGGTTCAGCAAATTTTTAGTTTATACATTACAAACAAACATAGAAAAAAAAATTTTTTCCTCTATATAATAATAGTATAGATATATCCTTTGAAAGCTACTTGATGTAGTTTATTTAACTTTATTTGACTCATTAAGTTTAAAAATTTACAGTACCATAGCACAGAACTGTCTAAGCATTGTAATTATTCATTTTATTTTAATTAATTTTTATTAATCTTTTTAAGATAATTTATTATTAATAGCTGATTTCTCAATCCTATGTTTAAAAAGTTGAATAAGTTAAGTGTTGCTATATAAATTTAATAACGTAAAATGTTATTTATAGTAATGAAATAAATTAATAAACTTAATTTTTAACCTTTATTACAGATAACCAAAGGAAGTACACCATCTTTAAAAAGATTAGCAAAGGAAATACTAAACATTGAGATACAGCACGGAGAACACAGTTCAATAGAAGATGCGAAGGCAGCAATGCAATTGTATTGTACGGTAGCTAAAAATTGGGAACAAATTTTAAGTGAAAAGAAAGGTTATAGTAAAAAATTTGTTGAAAGTTAAAATGTCGACTTTGCATTTTTGATCCTAAGTTTGTTGTGCACATTGTATAGTGATACTTTATATAACAATATTCTTTATCTCCGGCTTTGCATATTTATATTAAATTAAAATATGGAATCGAAAAATTACATGAAAAACCATTTTTTTTTAATAACTATTGTAATATGTGAAAAAAAAACCAATTAACTGCTGGTAATAATAAAAAAAATAAGTTCTATTATTAAGTCCATTAAAAAAACCATTTCTTTGAGAAGAAGAACAGGACAAAAAACTCACATTTATAATCTGCTACAGCAGATACATTGAAAATAATTTGCAAAGCCAAAACCTAAAACTAATGAAATAAAAGCATGGAATTAAAAATGCTGCCAAATTAGTGATTCTATGTTGTTTGAAATAACAAAACTTATCTGTTAATTTATATGAGCTCATCTATTTTGTACCGCAATATATCTAATATTGCTATATTGTTGATTGTATAAGTGAGACGGCAGATGCTTCTATCTCTTTTCTTTTTATTATAAATTGCAATTTTAATAGGAAAAATGCATGTTTTTTTTTATTATTGTTGAAGAGAAAACTTGTATATATTTTATACATGTAATAGTTCCAGGCCTGGATTTTAAGGGTCCCGGGACAATGATGGAGTAAAAAGCTTATAATATTGCAAAGAAATTAGTTCAAGCTTTATTGGCTTAATTTTTTTAAGTAATATAAAAAATATAATAAATCCTCAAAAATAGCTTGATTGATTTTTAATCATCTATCAAAATTCAAAAAAGTACTAGATACACAAGCCCATGCAAAATGTCTTAAAACTGTCACCGATTGTGTTTAGGTAATTGTTCGAGTTGAAATAAATATACAACAATGTAAATTTAACCGTAAATGCAATGCTTAAAGTTGCTTTCACAAAAAAAATATGGAAAGCGCCATCAAACGGTCAAATGAGCGCTCATTCTGTGAGGACATTTTTTGTCGATGATTGTGTATCTAGCTAGTACTTTACACCCTTTTTAAGTAAAGGGAATAAAATATTAGATATATTTTGTACAGTTTTGTCCAAAATTTTTGAATTAGTAATACTTGTGTTTCACATCTCTTCTGATTTTTGAATGTTTATAATAAATATATTTTTTTGTATGTAATTTGATTTATTTTCAACTAGCCACTTACCCTCGCTTCTCTCGTGTTCGTCTATTGGTTGATTTCCCATACAAACTTCCATCCCTATATTCACCCACTTAAGGGGTGATTTCAGGGATAAAAACTGTCCTATGTCCTTCCCAGGGTCTCAAACTATCTCCATACCAAATTTCATCTAAATCGGTTCAGCGGATTAAACGTTAAAAGATAATAGACAAACAGAGACACAGTTACTTTCGAATTTATAATATTAAAGTATGGATTTGGCAAAGTTCATTAAGCACCATCTATCGTCTGTTTAAGCAGACAAAAATAACGCGAAGAATATTTATATGAGAGTTGGGGCTTCACGTGTAGAAAAATATAGTATTATCTGTTGCTAGAGTACAGGGATATTTTATTTAAAAAAAAATATTGTCAGTCTATACATGAATTTTTATAATTATTATATTAATCACAGATTTAGACTTAAATAGATACCGCTTATCATTCCAGCAGAAAAACCTGATGGCCTGTAAATGGCTGAACGTATATTCTTGATTTATAGCTAAAAACACTCGATCGAGTAATTTTCCAAATTAAAAAAAAAATAAAAATTAAAATCAGTTCATCCGTTTGGGCGTTACGATGCCACAGACAAACACGTTAAACTTACAACACCCCTCTCTTTGCGTCAGGGATTAAAAAAAGCAGTCACGAGGAGTGCCGACAGAAGTGAAAACTTAAAACTATAAACAAACAGTTGGTTTTTTTGGATATTCAAATTAATTGTTTAATATTAAATATAAAATGTGTAAATTAAAACTGTTTACATTTATCTGGTTCGACATCTATCGGCACTCTGAGTGTTAGCCTTAACACGTCACGTGACCATGTCGATGACGACTTACATGAATTTACTCCCCATACAAACAAACCTGCCTATACAATTTTCACTGCAAAAAATAGGGCAAAATTAAGCCATTGTAAACTGAAAAACATTGATATATAAAAACATAGATACACACTTCCTAAGAAATATCTCTTCCAAAAGTGGCGTCGACGTTAAATCAAACCAAAGAATAACATTGAAAAATCGACAGTTCTAATTGTCATCGCAAATTCAAACTTACGTACACCACATAAAGCACTTTTTCAAACGAAACAACGTGCGTTTTAATTTTGTGGTCCGAAAAGCAATGAACAAAAGAGATTAGAAAATGAGCGCTCAATTTCCAATAGGGAATATGCGTGTTATTTAAATAATGGTGTAATATTTGTTTTTATAATCTTTATTGCTTGTGAATTAAGCACTATATCAATATTTTTTAATGTAATTTCGTTTATAATTTTTTTTAAAGCTTACTGAAAATTATTAAGAAAAATATTTTTTTTTACAATTGGTTTTAGTGGTTTTATTTTCCGCCAGTGACGTCATTATATCGCTTTAGTAACGCCACCGCATGACGAAATGATAACACGTCATGTTTACGTTGTCAAAATCAAAAAGTTGTCATTGTCCAGGTTATATTTGTTTTGAAATTATGTATTTAATTGACGTAAAAAAAATTTTGTTAAGACAAATGGTGATCCGAATATAGAAAATATAAAAGTATAGTGTGATTGCGATTGGCTCACAGCCTCAAAGGATATAGTGACGTCACAACCAATCACAAGTCGTTTTATTTCGTTTAAAATTTAACAATTGTTTATTAATAATTACTAAAAAATGGAATTTTTAATATCAAAAAAATTATTGAAATATTTAAATTAAATAATCTTTCATTTGTATATAAATTTGTGGCAAAAAAATGAATGCAACTTCCCTATTAATAAAGTATATTATATACATAAAGTGCAAATATATGTGGGAAATTCAAAGTAGTAGAAACGCACGCCATCGGTCCGACCGAGTGTGACGTCAGAGTATATCACAACAGAGCGATGTCGCGTGCGCAAGTGATGGCGGCCGATTAGAATCTCCGTATCCGTATGATATTTGAAAAATAAATATAAATAATATACAAAATTTCAGTTTTTTTGGATCTGGATATTTTTTTTACATTTACGTAACGATGTAGCTATTATAGGAAAAAAAATCATGCATATTCCCCCTATTGTGCGGTTCTTTTTGAGGACACTTTTGAGACGCTAATTCTTTGTCTGAGTTTTATATCAATACTAAAAAAAACTTATGTATGCACGTAAGTAGTTATACTTCTTTGTCGTAACAGAACAAAAATAGCTAAAGATTTCATCCCGTATGTCACAACTCTCTCATGTCGCTCTTTGGCTGTCGGTGTGCGCGCGCATCGTAAAAATTTTGCTCTCAAATTCCAAACGTGCCAAAAGAAGTATAACTTTAAATAATCTTCCATAGAATTATGAAATGTTCTTGCGGTAGCTATCTTAGTCTATATCTGTAATATTGATATTTATTAGCGGGTTTATTGGAGGGGTTTGTAGCGTGTTAGGCATCGGCGGGAAGTATTGTATTCTGTTCACTTCCACGTGTGTGTAGGGCTCGGGCTTTTTAACCTGTACCCGCGTTTGCTAGAAAAAAGAAAAAAAAATATATTTTTTTTTTTAGATTGACGCGAATATTTGATATTTTAAATAAAACTATCTTTTTGGATATTTTCGCGGATTTATTTTGTTTTTTGATTTGACTTCATGGTCACAATAAATTTCATAAAGTCATATAAAAAAATGAAAATAAACCCGAGAAAAATCTGAAAACATGTTTATTTATATTAAGAATTTCATTTGAGATACACTTTCTTTACCCCCTTATCATTGATTAAAAAATAATTTAATCTATATTTTGACAGAGATAATTTTCTATAATAAACATCATTCCTACTAAAATTACTTTGACTTCGACTAACATTTTTTAAAAATAATTATTGACAAAGATCAAGTAGCAAAACCATATACGGACTTTTTTATATTTTTTTTATTTTTTCTGTTTTACTAGATACATTTTTTTTATTTTATTTTTTTTACTCACCTTAGCCCGTTTACTAAAATGCATCATTTTCATATGTTTATAAATGGAGGTCTGCCAGGAGAAAGTCGCGGGACAAAGTGAGCATTTAAAACTCTTTGTATTCGATCTCTTTGTATGCATTGCCCATACGTGGCCTTTTAACCGTTTTACTGTCTGTGAAAAAAAACTAACCTTACACATTCATTTTAATAAGTATACTAATCCATATACATATATTACATATAATAAAATTCTGAGTCGAATCTGTACATTACATATTTCTTGTAAAATCTCATTGAAATAGTCATTATTACCGATACAGAGGATGAATTCTATGGTTTTTAGATTTTTGTCTGTCTGTCCGTTTCTTCCGGCTAATTTCCGAAATGGCTGGATCGATTTTGTCGGGACATTGGCAGATAGTTGCTTTTATAAGGAGTAACTTAGGCTACTTTTATTTTAGATAAAGTATCAGAGTTCCGCGCAAAATAACTAAAACCCATGAAATTGTAAGCAAAATCTGCGTACCAATGGACGCATCCGAACGGAGCGAGCATAAGTCGCTTATCTATACTAATATTATAAAGAGGTAAATTTTGTGAGTTTGTGACGTTGTAGGGGGTAATCTCTGGATCTACTGAACCGATTCAGATGAAATTTGGTAAGAAGATAGTTGGAGACCCTGGAAAGGACATAGGATACTTTTTACCCCGAAAACCATCCCTTAAGGGAGTGAAAATGAGGATGAAAATTTGTATGGAGGATCAAGCTAGCGACGAACCCGAGCAAAGCAAGGGTGAGTCGCTAGTTTAAAATATTTTAACTTTACAGTATCTACTTACTTTATATGATTTCCCGCAAATCTCGCACAAATGTTCTCCGTCTGGCTCCTTCTTGTTTTTACCTTCGTGTATATTGTTCATGTGAGCTACCATTATTTTAGCCGTTTTGAATGCCTACAAAAATATATGAAAACATAACTTTTTGAATATAGTTACACCGATTCAAAATCACCTTTGACCCCATTTTATGTTGTAATTTATTTAATACTTTCTTTGAATTATTTCGGGGATTTATTTATTAAGAAATATATATATATATATATATATATATATATATATCGAAATATATATATATATTTCGATCGACTACAAACAATTTTATCACAGAAATACAAACGCAAAAAACCTCCTTTTAGAACTCGATCAAAAAACCATGACCATGGTTGCTATAAAGCATTCGAAACGTCGGGAACCAAAAATCTAAATAAACTGCTTTGATCTTGATAGACTGCCTTGTCTTCGACATACTATTAAAAATAAAATATATATATTAAAAACATTAAGAAAATTAAAAAAAAAAGTATTTTACCTTAAAACAAACACTACACTGATATTTGATCCGCTTGAGATGATCCCAGTCGATGTGGTCGATCATACACCATTTCGTCGCGAACTTTTTGCCACAGAAATTGCATATATGTCTAGAAAAATAATTAAAATTACCATAAAAAAATATATCAATAAACTCTTAGATTTATTTTTAAAATGTCCCGTAGAAATAACCCGTTAAGAAAGCATATTAAAATAATTATTTTAATACTTCTATTTAAAAAAAAACGAAGAAAAATATCATTTTTAGGATTCCGTACCCGAAGGGTGCCTACGGGACCCTATTACTACGCCTTCGTCTGACAGAGGCTGTAATCTCATTAACCATAATGGTTAGAGTTGAAATTTTTACAGGGTGTGTATTTCTTTTGCCGCAATAACAATAAATAATAAAAAACCAAGATGGCGAATTTCAAAAAGGCTGCCATGCAAATTAAAAAAAAAATTTGCTACGGAAACCTTCGTGTGCGAGTCTGACTCGCACTTGATCGATTTTTTTTCACATCAATATTCCGTCACATTTTTAATAATAGTAACATTATAAAAAAATACATATTCATTAATGATATGAAACTGACCTCATGTACATGTTTCTTACTCAACTATATGTGCTTATTATAGCAATTCTATTTTAACAATACATCGTTAAGAAAATACCATTTTTTTATTAAATTCATAAAACTTTAAGACCCATGCAACATAAAAAAATACAGGGCAATAAAAAAAATATATCTAACATACTCACATATAACTGTCCTCGTGTACGTGTTTCTTACTCAACTTCATGTGGTTATTGAAGCAGTCTCTACTCGAGAAACTCTTTCCGCACTCCCTACACTGGTAGAGCGCACCGTTCTCCCTCTCCCTGTGGTTCCGCGTGTGTCGCGCGAGGTTCCTCTTCCATTGGAAGAGTTTACCACATATTGGGCATGGATAGCTTACACCTTCGTGTATTACGCTTGAATAGATTTTATTATTGTTAAAATAGAAAAAAAAAATGTTTTCTTTTCGACAAAATTTATTTAAAAACTAGTAGGAATAATTGCGGAGATGCATTTGTTAATTATATTTTGTTTTGTGTTTTAAAATATATATTTATATTTATAAAACAGAAAATTCGTTTTTTTTTATATCTTCATTAAATGTTCAAAATGTTGAAAAATAACCCGAAATTATATTAGATTTTTTGTTCTCTATTCTCGTGTGCCGCAGGACATTCCTCTTATTATTATTCATATATTTTTTAAATTAAAATTGAAAAAAAAAAGATTTTTTTACACCAAAATTAAAAATAAAAATATTAAAAACAAATAGTTAAAAAATAAACCAGAAAAAATATACTCACGCATGTGCCCTATAACTCTTCTTCGAATGAAACACTTTGTTGCACCCTTTGCATGGAATGAATAGGTTCTCTTTCGGCTTTTCATCCTTGTTATTTGGCAGTAGTCTAGAAAAAATAAGAATTAATTAAAAAAAATAAAATAAAAGGGTGATTTTAGTGATATATAAAAAACTAAACAATACCCATACTTTTCATATTTCTTTTAAATGCAAGTCAATTTTTTCTTGTAATAGAAAAAAAACATACAAAAATGACATTTTTTGTGCTATCTAGATATTTATCAACTGACCTCAAAAAAAAAGTTTTAAATTCGAATATATTTGTGCCAATTATGAATGGATTACTTTAAAAGCTAATATTATGCTATCTCTCTCTCTCAATGGAAAGAGAACTAATGTTTAAACAATACAAAAGTCTATAGTATTATTTTTATTATTCATATTTTCCTCCCCAAAAATTGAATTCATATATTAATTTAACAAATACGTATATAAAATTTCCCTTATTCCTAAAAGAAAGTAAACTATCTATAATATAATTACGCTACTGTTTTTAACTTTGATATTAATTTTGGCAGATTCCGTCTGTATAATTCTAATTATAATTTAGTTGAGTTACAAGTAATTTTGAAGTCAGCGTATTTAAGTTATAAATTAATTATACTTACTTCAAATGATATTTCAATGTTATTTTATTGGCAAATATCTTCCCGCAGCAGTCGCACTGAGGCTTCTCTTGATGTGACACCGTTCTATGGTAGGATAACTTAGATCTAGTGCTGAAAATACAAGTATTTTATTTATTTGAAAAAAAAGTCAATTAAATTAAAAAATGCATTAAAAATTATGTAGTATCCCTTACCTCTTGTTAATATAAAAACGGTTATTTTTTAAAAAAATCAAAAGATAAGAACTTTGTAAAAATTGAATTGTTATAAAATTCGATCAATCTTATACTATTTTTCCTATCAAATTAACTAATTATTCATAAAATATCAAAACAGAACACAAAATACAAATAAAAAAAAAATTCCGTTAAAAAAAAATAAACATTTTTTTGCATTTTATATTTTTTTATTTTTTTAAATAAACATATTGTGTTTACCTAAACTTTTTATCGGGACAATCGGGACACGTGTACGCGGGCACTTTCTTAGCGCAGTCATGCCCTAACATTATCCTTTTTAATGTAGTAATTAAATTACATTCTCGACATCTGAAACATGTTTACTTTATTAATTTTTCCAGTAAAAAGTTTTTTATTTTTGTTTTGTGTTTAATTTAAATAATAAAATAAAATCTTTTTTTGAATAGAGCCAATAATGTTACTTTAAAAAAAACAGTTTAGAAGTAAAAAACTTTTCATAATATTAAATCAACAACGATGTTTTTTTAATTTTATTCCATTAATTATATTTATTTTAACATTCTTTTCCCATAAAATACTTACTTGAAAGCAGAAAGGTGTAGTTTTCTATGAAATTTAATATTTTCTTTCGCCAAAAAATGTGCTTTACACACATCACAGGTATAGTCATTGTCTGTTTTCTGAAAAAAAAATAATATTATCTATAACTTTATTTTTTAGTATAGATTTCCCAGAGATGAAATATTATCCCGCAGTAAAAGGTATCCTATGTGTTGACCCGGATAACAAGCTATCATCATACCAAATTTCATCGATTGGCAGATAGCTGATGTTATAAGGGGTAACTTAGCCTAAGTTTTATCATAGAAAAAAAAATTTGGGTTCTAAAAAGTGTGGTAAGTGGGCTAGAAAAATATTGTGAGTCGCTAGTCATTAATAAACAATAAAAATATAATATACTTACTGAAAAATGCTTGCCATTATCATGAAACTCCTTTAGTTTTTTCGTATTAAAGCTAATAATGCACAAATCACATCTATATTTGAGTTTTTGAAACTCTTCGCTAGATACATCTCTCTCTCTCACACTCCACATCTCCTCTTCACTCATTGTGTAAAGTTCCACTAGTTTTTCCGGTAAATTCAATAATCTCCGATTTTTTCTATCTTTCATCTCTTTCTTGAAAAAAAAAATTTTTTTTCTAATTTTTTTAACTACAATGCATAAGCATTACAGTATTTTTTACACGCTTTTATTAGCTTATAGTAGCAGATTAACTTGAAATTTAGCACACTTATCAAAGACTGACGGCAACACAACAATTTATAAAAAAAATTACAAAACTAAAAAATACCGCTTTTATATCAGATCAAACTAAAAAATGAAGAAAAAAAAATATAACAACATTAATATTCTCGTTAGTCACTTCATTCTTATCCAAAAAAATTTTTTTTTGCATTTTAGTTTGTTTCATCATTACAGCGTATTTTTTAGTTTTTTAAACTATAATTTTTTATTATAAAGCTTTTTTTTTCTGTAAAGTTTGACCATATTTTTGTCATCATAAGCAAAAACATATGAGTACCTTTACATCGTCCTTACTTCTTTGTCTGTCTTTTTTCTTCTTTTTCTTCTTCTTTTGCACATCTTTCTCAGTCTTTAGTTTGGACAGCGCTATGTCGTCAGATTCACTGTCACGTTGTATTTCTTCATAATAATCCATACTTATATCTTCTTCAATGTGTTCATCTTCTGTTTTTACTTCAATATCTGGTATTTCTTAAAAAAATCACATATTATTATATTTTTTATCTTACTATTAAGAATATTGTCATGCATAAAAATTCAAATTAACCTACAAAAAATACTTGAATATCACATTTTTTTTAATTGTTGGTGGCAGTCAAGTGGTAATGCGCTTGGGAAACCGTGTGAAACGGGTTCAAATCCCGGGTCTCGCACCTCTGATATTCTCATGTGCGAATCATTTTCAACATGATTACCACTTGTCTTACGGTAAAGGAAAAACTGCATGTCTGAGAGAACCTAGCAAGTTGTCTGCAGACATGCTCAGTCCGTCCTCACTTGGCCAGCGTGGTGGACTGTGGCTTGATCCCTTCGTATTGAAGGGAGGCCCACGCCCAGCAGTGGGATGTTAAAAAAATTATTTAAATTTGTTTAAAAAAATGTTGTTTAATTTCATGTATATCAGTTTATATTATATGTATAAATGACTATTATCAATATATTAATGTTTTTTGTTTAAAAGATTAAAAAAAACATATCACCAAAATCATTTAACAATTGTTCATGACATTGCACAAGTAAAACTTACCAATTTCTATTTTGTCCGTACATTCACTTACTTCTTCCTTTATGACTTCCACATCTGGCGTATTTTCTACCTTAATTTCAACATCATCTAAGTATATATGGCTTGATAGTCTCTGAGTAGCATGCTTTGATAAATCTTCAGGGCTATTTAAAAAGGTATGCTGAAAAACATACATATATATATTTTTTTCAATATGGTATTACATATAAAAAAATATGGCATTTCATATAGCAATACAAATAAAAAAATATAGTTTATCTACATTTATCAAAGAGGCTCCGCATCTATAGTAATAGTTGTTTATGAGTGATTTTTCTTTTATTTCCACACTTTAAAAAAAAATTATTATCATATTAAAAAGAAAGTTTTACAATGGATTTTATGGGATGACAATATAACAACTTACTTAATAAAAATAACATAACTAGATTATCCACATAATATACATAAGTCTTCAAAGTACAGAAAATTCAATTATTCAATGTATAGAAGAATTAAATATGTTCAGACAGGATGTTTGTTGGGTTCGCTAATTACATATATATTTTATTGCATACTAAATGTCATAGAAAATTTCTCTATTGAGCATTTAATGCATTTTTATGTATAATTGAAATGAACCAATAAGAATTTTTAAATTAAAGGAGCATCAATAAACAAACACAAATAAAAATTCTATGTAGTTTTACGTAATTTACAACATCCCCATTTTAAATGAATATAAATTGATACAAATGTCTTATCCATACTAATATTATAAATGTGAAAGTTTGTGAGGCTGGATGGATGGATGGATGTTTGTTACTCTTTCACAACAAAACGGCTGAATGGATTAGGATGATCTTTGGCGCAGATGCACAGATAGATTATAATCTGGAATAGCAGATAGATTACTTTTGAACGGAAAAATGAATGGTTCCCGTGGGATAGATTTGTTTTTATCTAGGGACGAACCCACAGTGAGTTTTTAGTCAAACATAAAAGAAAACATTTGCTCGGACACCACAACATTTAGTATTACTTACTGTTTCAGAATATTCACTAAGTACTTTGTAAGATCTAAGTACTTTTTCCCTAAATTTCATAACACTTTGTATATATGCATGGCACTCCCAGCACACTCTAATAGAAAGGCCATCTGGTACCTGAAAAGAGTTTAATTTAAAAATTTATTCTTTTTTGGTAACTCGGTGTTTGTTACTCAATCATGCCAGAACTGCTGAACGGATCTGATTGAAATTTAGCACAGATATAGATTTTTTTAGATTAATCTGGAACAGCACATATTTTTATCCTGCAAAAATGTGTGGTTCCCGTGGGCTATATTTGTTTTTGTTTTTCACTAGGGATGAACCCAAGTGAAGCAAAGGTGAGTAGTAACTCACTCTATTATATTTAATCATTGACTTCTAAATGCAGCCACCAATTCAAATAACAACTTGTATCTGATTCTCATTCACATCCTTAGGCTAAATTTTAAAATATATACAATTGTTTTTACATTATTTTATACATAAATATTTTTAGTATGTAAGTACTTTTTAATGTTTTTAACTTTTTCAATACACTTTTAATTATGATGTAACTTGCAAATAAATACAGAAATCAATTATATATTTAAAAGAGTCTATATTTTTAGTTTAATTAAATATATTTTTAGTACCTACCTATGTAGTGTTTTCTACAACTTTTTATGAAATTTCTAAAAAATACTGACTGGATAATAAGACTATAAAAAAATCTATTATTACAAAATAACTTCACTATGCATAGAAATCTCTAAGTAATAAGTATATGATACTTTTTGTACAATCAATAAAAAACAATGGCGGTTCTAAGGATTCCTTTGTTCTGCCTAACTTCACTAAATGTAATAAATTAACACAAGTTTAAGTCTACATATATATTTATAGATATTACAAACGATTTTCTAATAATTAAAATAAATAAATAATTAAAAAAAAATCGTACTTACTTCAATGTCGGCTAACATTTTAAAACACTCTTTTACATTTTTATCATAAAACATTGTGCGGTTATAATTCAAACAGCCCACACAAATACCACTTTCATTATATCCTTCAATGTTTATGTTAATTTCTTTCATTTTTATGGAATGTTTATAACAAAAATATTTATTACGAATGGAAGCTTCACAGCTTTCCTTCGGCCATTTTGTATAACTGTTTGACAAATGACATTTGACATTGGCATATTGTATTTTTTTTAATTTATTTATGGACGGTAGAAGTAAGAAGAACCATCTCTGTGTATAAAAAAGTGTCCTTCGAAAAGCGTCAAATTAGGATGCGCCACGCCAGCGAGTGCGTAAATTTTGAAGAAAGGGCTAAAAGTATTATTTTTTAATAATACTTTTGGCCCTTTCTTCAAAATTTACGCACACACGTTTCACAAAAAATAAATCATCAATCATCAATCTACCTTTATATCACCACAGTTTCTTCGGATTTAATTAATTACAAAACAATTTTGGATTACGGAAATAGTTTCAATAACAACTCCAGTCACCCAAAAGCGACAAGACGAGGTAGGTTCTATTGGGTTTTAGTGGGAAGTACTGGCTTTTTAGCCGTCGAGTCCCACATAACCATCTATATTATGTATAAATGCCATGAGTAAATTAAAAAAAAGCAGTCTTTAGGAAATATAAACAAACAGTTGCCATTTATAAATATTCAAATTAATTGTTTATCTTAAATTAAAATGTGTAAATTAAAAGTGTTTAAATTTATCTGGTTTTGACATCTATCGGCACTCAAGAGTGGTAACATACCTTAGGATTAGTTTCTTAGTAGTGCCCGGTAATACAGCCGGGCGCGAAGCCAAAAACGCACAGGGAGGTGGCCCGCTTCGGTGGGCGGTGGGAGGCGGCTCTCTTCGGAGGGCGGTGTACCATGCGGGTTGCTCCTGGTACTTCTCTGATAGCAGAGTGGACCTTGGACAGACCTGCGTCCGGGCGTCGTAGTTGAATGCGTAAGCGATCCTGCGACGCCCCATTAAGACGGGGAAAGATTTTGTTGGGTTGGTGGGTGTACACTTGATTGAGTACCTCCTATTTTTTAAATCGGTCAATAATAGCAATTATAATTATAACTGATTAAGCCTCTTCACTCTATGAACTGGAAACCCCTGTTAGTTTATAAAGAGAAATATGTAAATATGGACCTGTGTCTGAAGTAATTGAAAATAGTGGTAATATAAGCTTAATATTTTTCATTTTATTTTTTTTCGACTTTATTTTTGAATTTGAAATTTGAAAGTTCCTGCGGAATAGAAGTTCTCCTTTTTTTTAAAGGCTGTGGGTTATGGGTTGAGGGTTAAGGGTTGAGTTAAAGATCGCATCGCATTCTGCCACCTATTATAAGGAAGACACGAATGAAAATGAGTGTTAAATCACGAAAGAGAAAAATAAGTTGTTTTTTTTACTTCCACGAACATCATCGTCATACAAAAGGTAGTATACCTACTGTTTTAGCAGTAATATTATATCTTTAAGCGAGAATTTCTTGTATATATATATATATACACTACGGTGTCAAAAGTAAATAGACAGGGCATTTATTATAAAACATTTTTTTCATCAAAAACTAAATATTTAATTAAAAAACTAATGCATGATTACTAATATCGTGTCGACCCTCCTTTATTATAAAACAATGTTTTTATTCTAGTTTTCATAGTATTAAACAAGCAAACTAAATTAAAATTATTATCCTTAATTAATTTTACCTTTTTTAAAGTACACATAGAACAATTATATGGTATATATAATCTGCATCTTGAAAACGGCTTCAACGATTTTCATGAAATTTAGTACACGTGGGGTTTCGGGGGTGATGAATCGATCTAGATTAGTCTTACGTCTGAGAAAACGCGTGTTTTTGAGTTTTCATGCAGTTTTCTTTTGCATTATTCCAACAGTGCAAAATATGGTCGGTAATTTGCACGCTCGGGCATAAGCATCGTGGTGAAGCGGCCAAGGTGCAAGATCAACAATCACATGTGTCCAGGTTCGAATCTAGGTCGCATACAAAGTTTTTACTTTTGTTTTTTTTAATATTTATTTAAGTTTTTAGTTTAAAAAAAAAAAAGAAAATTGTATTTTAGGGCCAAAACTCCAAGCACAGCTCGGTAGCCCAGGTCCTGCAATATTAAATGTACACTACATAAGGTCAGCTTAGAAATGTCATAATACAGATAAACAGACTATATTAAAAAATAAAAATACTACATACACGTATATATTACACACGTAACAATAAAAATAATAATATTATTCCATTAAAACTGTATTACAATAACTTGCTAAATTTATGATAGCTCAATTGCTAACCATAAGCAATTTATTTTTTTAATTTATAATGCACTGTATCACACTCTCGAAGTTTTTGCGCGGCTTGTTCTGGAGTTAAATCTCTCTGTGGTTGTGCCAACATTTCGAAACCAACCATGAATTTTTTGACAGTGGCAGAACGGAGTAGCGGCGGTAAGTATACACCGTGGAATAACCAATGGGGGGAATCCCCTGTTTTTTTTGATGGGCCTGTTGGTGCTCCTGGAATAGTAATATTTAGAATGTATTTTTTAAACTTTTAACTTAATTTAATCTTTTGGGAATATATTTATGTTAAATATTATTTATTGACGTATCTTTAACATAAATTATTAGAATTTTATTTTATTACTAGCGACTCGCCATTTTTTATTTTTGGTAATTTCTTAATTATAATTATTATACTTATTATAAAAATAAGTCCCCCGGCCGCGTCTTTCTGTCCTCCTGTCTGTCTGTACGCGATAAACTCGAAAACTACTGAACGGATTTTTATACGGTTTTCAACAATAGAAAGAGTAATTCTTGAGGAAGGTTTAGGTATATAATTTATTATGCTTTTATGTAAATTAGCTGAAATACGGCGACAAATGTTGAAGAGGTCGCAAAAAATCTCGCCAAATGGGAACTTTCCACGCGAACGCCGCGTAAACTAGCAAAGATACAGTTAAGTAATGTACTAGAGAATTCAAAATCTATAAAAATGCTACAAAAAAGTCCGCGATAGCATATCTCTATCTCTTACGGTTGACTTACAATAACCACTTTTATGTTAACATTTTTAATTAAAAACATTACGTTATTTTCAAAGTTATTTTCTTTAGTTCGGTATTAATCCTTATCCAAATGAATATTTTAGTTAGCTTAGTCATTTAATGCAGATTAAAATTGCTCTTTACACTAAATCAATCAGATGAATAGTTTTTGAGATATCGTTGTTAGAAGTAATTAGTAGCGAAACATTTTTAATGCTTGGCGAGCATTGAGATGCCTACGGCGAGTCCATCCCCTCTGCCCCGCATCGCTCGACCGCCTGCTCAAGCTATATAAACCGGGCGATGTAGCGCGCGATCCTAGGATACTTTTTACCGCGGGAAAATATCTTATTTCTGAGGAAAAATACAAAAACTGCAATGTAAGAGTATACTAATATGTAACACCTAAGAATTTAGTTTTTGGTCATCTGAACGCGGGCGGAGCCGCGGGCAATGCTAGTTATTATATATGCAGAGACCACTTACCATGCCATCCCATAGAATAAGGGAAGCTGCATTTGAACAGATTGTCATACTTAGTACATATTTGTTTCATTATATCGCCTAAACCTTTTTTTTGGTTGTCATTTAAGTCTGTCATACGTTGTGGCTTATTATTTATGGGTAATAACATGGTCTCGTAAGGCCACGCTGCCCAGTATGGAACTAATGCCACCCATTCGGAGTTTTCAACGACTATACGTTCCTGAAAACAACAATAATATCCATATTAATATTCTAAATCTGAAAAAATGTCTGTGTTGTAAACTTTAGGCCAACAAGTCAATATGACTATCTTTTCGGATCATCAAAATGAAAATTGCACCAATTCAGTTTGTTATTTTGTTATTCATTTTGTTATTTGTTGGTAGGCTGTCTGTAACAACTATACCTCCGAGACATCTAACACCTCAGTCTCTCCCGTGGCCATGATTGCTGTAAAGCATTCGAAACGTCGGGAACCAAAAATCAAAATAAATCCGCGAAAAATTCCGAAAAGATAGTTTTATTTAAAATGTCAAATATTCGCGTAAATCTAAGAAAGTATTAAGTCGATATGAATGAAATGTGCAACAGGAGAGCTAGCACTTTTTGTTAATATTGAAAAAGATAGCAGTATAAGTATTTTCTCATTTGTATTCCTAGCTATTGTATTTTTTAAAAACTTAATTTTAAAAAGCGACAGAAAAGGATATACAGACACACATATCATTGCTTAGGAGCAATCATAAAATAAGTACATTTATAATTAAGAAGAAAGTATTCAAAGTTAAAGCCTCCATTTAAATTTGCTAAGTCAGTTGAATACGTTGTAAAGTATCCAAGCATTGGAGAAATCTTACCTTAGTTTTTAGCTCTTGCTGTAAATAGTCCACTAACATACTTTTGCCATACTTTGTATAGTATTCCTTTTGACATCTAAAAAAAATATTTATAGTAAATAAATGAATATGTTGGGACATTAGCACACAGCACCATCTAGTTCCATGGTAAGCTACGAGGCTTGTGTTATGAATACCAGATAGTTGATATAACTCGCGTTATCTAAAAAGAACGCTGGCTGTCAAGTGTCAAGCTGCGCAGAAGCGATTTATCGGCCAAATTGGTGGTAAGAAGCGGGCGCGAAGCGGGTCGGGGCGGCGGAGCACGCGCCGCATGCTTGCCGGCGCGCTATTGGTTCGTCAGTTCGAAACACCATCGCGCACACAAAAGTTTTTAATTACGAAAGGGTTTTATATATAGAAAAGAGAAAAATTATTTTTGACGTATATTGTTTTACAAAGAGAGAGTCTGATAATAATGCAGTTAATAATTAAAAAAATGTATTAAACGTATTAATTTTATTATTTGTAAGTAGATTAAAATTCTACACTGAATTAAACATATTTTAATAATGAATAGAATTCTATTTAATGATATTCTATCTAATATATTTTTCAATGTCCCTAACAATAACTAATATATGAAGCCGCGAGCGAAATGCTATGAAAAATAAAATAATAGGCTTAATACTTTTGTGCGCGAGTATACCCATGCGCAAACATACCCCCTCCACTTTCTTTCAGCGTTTTTTTTAGATGACGCGAGTTATACACTACATATATATAACTTTAAATACATACATATTATAAATATAAACACCCATGACTGGAGTATAAATATTCGTGCTCATCACACAAATGAATGCCCCAGCGGGTGTTGAACCCGAGACCGCTGGCACACCAAGTAGGGTGACCACTACGAACTGAGCCAATCATGTCGTCAAATAAATAGTATCTAATATAAAATGCTCGTAATTTTTTAGGTACAGACTACAGTGCTATCCCATATTTTATTAATACGTTTTTATTAACCTTATTTTTTTTCAGACAATTTTGACTCTTTGCGATGGAAGAGTCTACATAAATGTCAATACATCTATACTAATATTATAAATGTGAAAATTTAGATGTTTGGATGGATGTTTTGTTACTCAATCACGCCACAACGGTTGAACGGATCTGGATAAGTTTTGGCACAGAGATAGATTATAGTCTGGAATAGCACATAGGCGATGTTTTATTTCTCAAAAATGAACGTTTCCCGTGGGATAGATTATGTTATATATTTGCTTATTCATAGATGGCGCTGTTCGTTGTTTACTCAGTCTATTTAAACTTTACTGGCCTATTTTTTTAATTTTTTTTTCAAGATCAGCGCTATTTATCGTTTTATGGACATAAAAAATACAATGTTGACATAAAAATAAAGATTGAAAGTTCTAGTAAAAAAATCTATTTAGTTTAATCCAAAAAAAATCTTTTTTTTTTTATTTCTCAAAGGACCACTCTAAAAATCAAACAGTCATATTATGTACATAAAAAAATCTACAACATAAAAATATATTACGAGTAGCATTAGTATTAAGTACGCTTTTTTTATTTTCATCACAATAAATACCCTCAGTTAAATGAAAGTAGCTCACCTATCTTTCACCCTAGGCTCATTTGGCAAGAAACTGGAGGCCCAAATCTGGCAATGTGGGTGCGGGTTCGAGCAACCCATTATAGCGCCTTTGTTCTCAAAAATTTGAACCCACGTGTACTTGCGACCTAGTTCTTGCAGTTGGTTAATCCACCTGAATATTTAATATTTTGATTTGTTAAAAAAAAACAAATTATGGCCCTTTTGAATCGAAATCGAAACGAATTATGAATAGACATAACACTTATGACTTCTACTGGTGACAAAGAGCTGGCTCATTTTCCGCTAAAAAAGTCCCAAAATAATGTGTTCTATTTTTTAAAATACCCTAAAAAAGTGGTAAAAAAATTTACATAAGAAATATTATATGGTAATAACTTCGATCAACAATACTACTAGATAACGTGTCACATACAAAATCAAAGCTAAATTCTGTAGTATTGTTGATCGAAGGATAATAATGTATGTTTTAAAATTATAAAGTTAACTGTTGATGGAAATTTTTAAATTTTAAACCTAACATCCGTTTCCATGAAAAGAAAGAAGATATTTTACAAGACGTCTTTTTTCATTTCTAGCTCACGTAATGAATTGAAAAAATGAGTATTCATCCCTTTTTTTACAGTCCACTGCTGGGCACCAGCATACTTTTCACGAGGAACCACCCTGGCCAAGTGCGGACGGACTGAGCATGTCTGCAGACAACTTGCTAGGTTCTCTCAGACATGTAGGTTTCCTCACGATATTCTCCTTCACCATAAGACAAGTGGTGATCATGATCGAAATGATTGGCATATAAGATATTCTCATTCCCTCATTCAGAGGTGCGATACCGGGGATTTGAGCGAGCTTCACCCAGTTTGCCAAGCGAGCGCGTCACCAATGGGCTACCACTGCCAAAGAAATACTAATACTAGATATATATATTTTTAAAAGCAATTTCAATTAATTCACAAAATGAGGACCTTCACGTTGTAGAAGTTACTCAAAAATTAAAACACTTACTCTTCTATAACAGCTTCTACTTCTTCGAGAGACATCAAAGGTATCGTCATGTTAGAGTCAGGATGAAAACACATTACCCTGAAATTAAATGTAAACATGAAAATGTTGGAAATATGTACATATGTATTACATGTATAGATTCTAATTAAAAGCAGGCAATGTCAGGTCTCAATCTCAATATACAAGTTCAAAGTTTTCAAATATTATATAAGTACTAGCGAATCACCCTCGCTCCGCTCGGGTTCGTCCCTACTTCTCTTTTAACGTTTAGTATAGATTTCTCAGAGATGAGATAATTTCCCGCAGTAAAAAGTATCCTATATATGTTGACCCGGATAACCAGCTATCATCATCATAATAACAATTTCGTCAAATTCCCTCCAGTGGTTTCTCCGTGATGCGGTAACAGACAGACAGACCGACAAAAATTCTAAAAACTATAGATTCGGCCTCTGTATCGATAATAATGTATATTTCAATAAGATTTTCCAAAAAATATTTAATTTATAGATTCGGCTTAGTTACTATTTTATTATAATTGTTTATAGATTTTGAATGTAAATGATGTATAGATTATGAATGTAAATGTCGAAATCTAGAATAAAGAGATAGCAAAACATGGTACCTATTATTTTCGGTTTTGATTTTTTTTGGCAGTTCTATATAATTCTTTAGACTGGGTTAAAACAAATTGAATGAACGTTATAGGGTTATTCTAGATTTTATTTAGGCTGCGATATAAATTGAACGTCTTATCCAGCTCATGGTATTAAATGCCTAAAGGATTCAGTTTAGGTCGTTAATTGAGTCATAATTAGAGTTTATGGCCATTTATATAAATATTTTCTTTTTTTTAATTATACATTCGAATACATAATTCAATTCAATACAGATTAGATAATTGCTATAATATCTATAATCTGTATACCTGCACGTCCCTTTAGCCTGACAAGCTTGGAAGAGGGGATGTTCAGGCGCAGGAGGTTCTGGCACCCGTTCCAGAAGAGCTGGGAAGTCATTGGGGAAAACGTAGGTGGACTTATAGGGAGGATTGCGCTGTAATAGAGAAATATTATTTTTTAATAAAAAAAATCAAGTTCAAGTCAAGTGCGAGCTTGTTTTTTACAACACAATGCCTTTAGAACATATAACTCAGTAACTTACAACAAAATAGTAATTTGTAAACACCTATCTTAATTTTAAAGACCTGTTCAAAGATACCCCATAACTTATATGCACTCATTTATTTTCATCCCTCACTTATATGTATGTAGAGCTACTCCTTACTTCATAATTTGACAGCATAATTAAGTCTGTAGCAGTTCACATCAGACATGTAATTGCCAAAATTCAGCCAAAAGCCTTTAATAGTGTAATTCTAATTTTTCCTTTCGGTGGAATCCTAAAAATGGCCAAGTATCTACAAGTCTACGTAGCATAAGATATCTCAAAAAAATGATTTTTATATTGAATTTACCGAAATTAGAAATCTTTTTTTTCGGGTAACACAAAAAGAATATCATAATAACAAATTAAATAAATAATACCTATTTAGATTTTCGCGAATATCTGACTTTTTAAATAAAAAAAGACTATCTTTTCGGACTTCTGCATTGTACGTGACATTATCGAAGTAATCTGTACTCAACTGGCACACTTCGAAGCCATTAACAAGGTAATTGAATTGAATCTTTTTGTGGATTTATTTAGATTTTTGGTAAATTTGGAAAAATAAAAGAAATAAATAAAAAAACCCTGAAATTAAAAAAAAAGGAATCGTACCTGCCCATTGGCTCTAACAGCACCAGCTCTCAAGGGATTGTTAGGGTCTGGAGGCTGTTCTTCAGGAGTGTCCTCAGTTTGACCACTCCACGGTCTCTTGCAACGGTGAGGAGAGACCAGGATCCACTCATCCTTGAGAGGATTGTACCTTATGTGCTGGTGTTCTGCCAAAAAAAATTGAGATGAGTTGCCTAGTTCACTTTATTTGTAAGTAAAAAATATCGGACAAATGCGAGTCTGACTCGCACACCGAGAGTCCCGACTTCCGTCCGTAGCATAAAACATTAATATAAGTCTAAAATCGCAAAAAAATTTTTTGGGCCCAAGTTTAGTATATGGGACACGGCCCCAGGAAAATTGGGTGGTATTTTTGGATAGGGGAGGTAATAGAGAGTTCAAATATATTAAATTTATTTTGAGGAAACGAAACAGTCAAAAGTTATTGAGACTTAAAGTTACAACATTTCCGTACATTATTATGAAATTCAAATGAGAAATGACTCAAGGAATACAAAAAATGTACCCCGACTTCAAAATCATTTAAAAAGTAATTGATTTTTTCTAATTTATACGAGACTGTCTTTGACGTATGGATATATCGTATTATTTAAAGAAAAAACAAAAATGGATTTCCAGTTGGCGAAGGTTCTCCTCTTTCTCCTTTTAAGTCGGTCAAAAGCAAAATCTCTGTGCGCGTTTGTTTGTATGCTTAGTTCTTCTAAACTACTGGATCAATTTTGATATGGTTTTCACTAATACTTAGAGATTTTTCTGAAGTTTTATATTATGTATAATACACATTTTTATAGGTAATAAGAAAATGATGTTTTGTAATGAAGTCAAGAGTAAACAATGCCAATAAAAATCTAAGTGACATAACCAAGTGTCACTACAATATGTTCACTACACAAATTAACTCTACGTTTGACAAAATCTATAAGTACACTGTACGTATAATAAAAGAGTAACTTAGCGAAATTGATGTGCGCGTTTCACACAATAAGTACTGAATCGATTTTAACAAAATATTGGGTAATGATAACTTATTACTCGGGTTATTTACAACATTTAGGATACCTTTTACTACAGGAAAATCTTTCATTCCCACGGGAAAACACAATAACTGGTTTTATCGAGTCGTTCTTAGTTTTATATGTCTAACGCTGGCTAAACATTAAGAGATACATCAAAACAATGTACTAGAAAATTGTAGGTCTTAATAAGCCCGACAGAAAAATCTGCAATAGCATAAACCTTTCTCCTAAAGTACACTCGCAAAAACTATTTATATCTATTTAAAACGTACCTAGAGATGACCCGAGCGAAGTGAAAGAAGTCAATCGTCTAATATAAAACAGCTGTTAGAAAAAAATTGTGTTAAATTACAAAATACACTCGCAACAATTTGAAACAAAACCACTACACCATTTTAAAACTAAATGATTTTTAATATATAATATAGATTATTTTTGCTCAATTTTTCCATTAAATTAATAAAACTAACCTGTCGCTTCAAACTCGTTCATTGTTGAGGCGTCCTCTACTCTCTAGTTACAGAGGGCATGACGTAGTGATGCTATCGAATAATGATATTAATATATTTATGGATAATCGATATCGATATTTTATAGTAAATATTTATTTAAAACGTTACGTTTACGTATTAAATGGATATACATAAATAGTTATTGCCAGTATACTTTAGAAGAAAAACTTTGCTTATGCAGATTTTTGCGTATCGATCCCTTGCTCTGTGTAAAACAAAAAGAAATCTATCACACGGGAACCCTACATTTTTCTGGGATATAAAGTGATCTATGAGCTATTCCAGACAATAATCTATCTAGGTATGTGCCAAATTTCATCCAGATCCGTTCAGCCGTTCTGGTGTGATTGAGTAACAAACATCATCCTCACAAACTTACACATCTTAAAATATTGACTTAATCTACATGTATTTACCGAAAATAAGACACTCCGTCTGAAATATTATTTTTGCAACTTTTAAATATATATTGCAGCATTGTGAGCGTGTTTACGTTGGCAGTGTTTCAATAGAACTAATCGAAATATACGCTCACTTTTCAAATGAGCTAATATTTACCGAGACGTTTTTCTTACGCCGACCTGATATCTAGTAGTATTGTTGATCTAAGCAGTCAATAGTGGTCGGGAAAATGCCTCGATTCTTACATGAGGTGATAGAATATAAGCTTTATATACTTCATTGTGATGTATTGTTTAAGCCCAATCCTCGCCATGTTTTTTTCATTCTAGTTAACATTGGAGAAGTAAACTGTGCCCAACTGGTACGTCTAAAAGCTACGAAAAAAATAAGAATTGATTTTTTTTATTGTTTTAAGTACAAAATGATTATGTTTATATTATATTAACTTATTAATTTTAATTTATATATGCTTATTAAGACGATAACTTTTTTTCAAACAGAATAATTTTATTGTATCGATATTACATTGAATAAACAGGTGCATCCCTACTTGTTATTTAGTGCTGGCTTATTCCGATAAAGAGGTATACGTTATCATTTAGAGAATAAAATATAAATAGAGACGTCATTCCAAATTTTTTTTAATTTGATATATACCTATATAATATTGCTAGCTGACCCGGCAAACGTTGTTTTGCCATATGAATTATTTCTAGTGTATGAAAATACATATATCTTAGTTATTGTTGTGTGCGTATGTGGTATATGAGAGACAGAGGTATGTATTACTTTATTATAGTATATATTACTAGCAGAACCCGCGGCTTCGCTCGCGCTAAAACTACAAAAAATCTCTAAAAAGATAGTTTCATACAGACTTTCATCCCCTATTTTACCCATGATGAATTTCGAAAAATACTAAAACACGTATTTATTTAATTTTATTGAAGAACATTAATACCAAGTTTCAAGTATTACAATTCAATATTTTCTTGAATTGTATTATAATGTGTTTTCCCGTGGGAATGAGATCATCTCCCGCGATAAAAATATATCACTCTCCATCCCTCCACCTATCTCCACACAAAAATTCACGCCAATCCGTCAGTCCATTTCGACGTGACAGAAGGACAAACAAACAAACACTTTCACATTTATAATATTAATTTATATGGATTTACATTTATAATATTTATGAAAAATATAATTTAATTCATTTTAAATTTAATTTTTTGGGTTGGTGGTAGGAGGGTGAAAATTAAGGACTGAATGTATTTTTTAATGCCACACCATAAAAATATAACCAAAAAAAGTGTCCAAAAAATGAAAGAATTTTTTTGGGGTGAGCCACTCTTAACACTTAGGGGTATAAAAATTAGTTATAAACCTATTCTCAGACCTACTGAATATATGTATATATAAAATTTAATTAAAAGGGGTCAAACCGTTTCGGAGGAGTATAAACACGAAAACTGCGACACAAGATTTTTATATATTAGATTATTTAACTTTTGCTAGCTATAAAGTAGCGACTTGCTTATAATATTTATATAATACTAGCAGAACCCGCGGCTTCGCTCGCGCTAAAACTATTAAAAAAAATTTATCTCTTTTGGGATGAATTTCGAAAAATGCTAAAACACGTATATATTGAATTGAATTGAAAAGCACTAACTACACAGCAACTAATTCTGATCATAAATAATTTTTGGGTTCTGTTTTCCCGTGGGAATGAGATTATCTCTCGCGGTAAAAAGTAGCCTATATCACCCCCTTTCCTCCATTTAAAAAATCACGTCAATCCATCACTCCGTTTTGACGTGAAAAAAGACAAGCAAACAAACAAACAAACAAAAACACTTTCACATTTATAATATTAGTATAGATATACACACAGCGCCCTATAGTACAGTACCCTACAGTACATTCCCTACCGTAGGTACCCTATGGTAAATGTATTACTAATAGTTGCCCGGTAGTGGATTTACCAGTAGGCTGAGGAGACTTAAACCTAGGGCGATTTTAGGGCAGAATTTTTAAGTGTCTTACAGATATTATTCCAATGTGGCAGTCGTTGCTCAATGGTAACGCGCTCTCTTGGGTAACTGAGTGAAGCGGGTTCAAATCCCGGGTCTCGCACCTCTGATATTTTCATGTGCGAATCATATCCAACATGATAACCACTTGTCTTATGGTGAAGGAAAACATCGCGAAGAAACCTGCATGTCTAAGAGAACCTAACAAGTTTTCGGAAGACATGTGAAGTCCGCCAACCCGCACTTGGCCAGCGTGGTGGACTATGGCCTGATCCCCCTCGTATTGGGAGGCCCACGCCCAGCAGTGGGACGTCATAAAGGGCTGAATACTACAGAAATTATTAAGACTTCTATTTTTTTTTAAATCTGTGCGATTTAAGTGTAAAAAGGTAACACTCAAAGTTACTTTCACATTTATATTATACTAGCGACTCACCCTCGCTTAGTTTCGGGTTCGTCTCTAGACAAAAACAAAGCTATCCCACGGGAATCGTACATTTTTTAGGGATAAAGAGTAACTTATGTGCTACTACAGACTATAATCTATCTATGTGCCAAATTTCCTCCAGATCCGTTCAGCCGTTCTGGCGTGATTGAGTAACAAACATCCATCCATCGAAACTTTCATAATCATCATTTATAACGTTAGTATGGAAGTAGAGATTATATCAGTGATGGGCAAAGTACGGCCCGCGAGCCAACACCGGCCCGCGAAAGTATTAAATCCGGCCCGCCGAGGGTCCATCGACATGGATAGTATATGACTCGCTAGAATTACGTTTTGACGATCACGAAGTATAAAGTAGATTCTACTTAGGGCCGATTGTTCAATCATCGAATAACTGAGCAAATAACTAACTAGCGAATTAACTTAACTGACTGATAAAAGGGCAAATAAAATTGTTACATTTTTCAATGGCCAGGTAGCAAGTGAATAGTTATCTGTGGATTTTAGTTGCCGACTTCAGTGTAATATTGTGGAAGCGTGAATTTTGTGGCCCCCATTAAAAAAGTTTGCCCACCACTGGATTATATCATCAAAGTACTCTGTAATTATAATATGGTCTCTCGTAAGTCGTCGGTATAGTATCTTCTATCTACGAAAGACGTTTGGCCATATCTGTTACATTTTATTAATCTATGACGAAAATTTTGGATGCCCGATAATTATGAGCAGTTAAAGTATATAAAATAATAAAACTAAAATAAAACAATAAAATAATCGTTTTAAAGCTTCTAGATACATTTTAATTGTATCTTGTACCTTTTAAGTAAAGTATAGGTTAGGTGTTTATTGTTTCTTTCCCTACTAAATATTCGTCAACCCTTATTTATCCCTACTCCCTACAATACTTGGAAACTCACTTTAAGGCCGCCTTTATACTGAAATATTTACTTTTATGCAGTTTCTATTTACTTTTTTTACAATATTTTTTTATGTTTTATAAAGGATTAATAAATAAATATAATATTATCAATTCTATTTCTGGTTGGTGCAACTTTATGTTTTTTGGTCGATTTCAAAGGAGGTGGACGAACTTCATTTGCGTGCAAATGAAACCCCTCCTTTGAAACCCCTCCTTTGTTTTATTGTTTGTATGTAAGTATGTACATATGTTACGATACCCGATCGAATAATTGAAAATAAAGTTTTAATTACTTAAAAGTTACACCCTTAGGCGTAGAACATTTTTTAAATTTATATGGTTCCAAATAAGAGTATTTATTTAAAAAAGAAACATTAAAGTATTAACTAAGAATTACGAAATCATATAATATTGTGAAGAAAGACGTTATGCTTTAATATTATTATAGTTAAAATAATTTTAAAATAGTGACATCTATTATCTTAATATGTAACTGATTATTTTGCTTATGGCGTTGCACGCCATCTTTTATCTTATCGTAAAACTAAATGAGTTAGAATTACATCGTTTTATTAGCGCCATCTATTAGCCTATCTAGTTATCACATAATACTTTCTTAGATTTACGCGAATATTTGACATTTTAAATAAAACTATATTTTCGGATTATTTCGCGGATTTACTTTTTTTTTTTAATTTTTAGTTCCCAAAATAAAAATAAATCCGCGAAATAATCCGAAAAGATAGTTTTATTTAAAATGCCTATCAAGTTAATAAATAATTAAATCTAAAAGTTTTATTTTCTCTTCCTACTATATAATTTGTATATTTTTATTTAATATTTACTAATAACGAGAGTGTATCAAAATATTTTTTTTAGTTAAATATTGTATATTGCCCTCTGAATATATTGACTTGACATTAATAATAATAAAATTATCATTGCATTATCAAATTCATAATAAAGAAGGAAACGAATCAAAATAGGTACATTTTTAGAATGTCCAGTAGTTTTGGGCATTAGCACTTGCGCTAAGACATGAGAAACAGATAATATTATAATAATGCAGATGCCCAACCCGACAAAGATATTGGACCGCCCTAATTAGAGATATTTTTGTTTACTTATAGAGACAATAGATGGCGTTGATCCATAAACTAATTTATACATATAAT